GGATTGGTTTGTCTCAGGTTTATCAGGGAACCTGGGGCAGTTTAGGGACTTGAAGCCAAGGAGCAGAAACTACATGGGGTTCTGCTTCCTCTCAGCATCAGCTGGTTTGCAGCTACTTTGTGTTCCTGAAGTGATGAAAAGCTGCAATAAGGAACCCTAGTGTGCCTTTCCCTCTCTCTTATCTCTATATTGGTTGGTCACTGCAGGTTTACCTACAACAGCAGCCAACAGGACTGTGCTAAGTAATGAATCAGTGAAGGTTCTATAAGCACCATGTAGCAAAATGAATAGATTTCACGCAAAATTCTATGGCTTTCTATGTAGGAAAGGGTATGAATTCATAATATATATTAATGCACAAAGATAAATACATCCAATGTAACATTTGAATAAAGACTTCCTATTTAACCCAGAGAAAGAATATGCTGCATGGGTGGCACTCTGATTCAAAGAAGGTAGGTGCAGCCTTGGCCAGAAACACCTTCTCACACACCTGAAAACACAAATTCTGGTGAGAACAACTTCCTGCCCTTGCTCAGAAAGAAATCTCAAAGTGCTGTCAGTCAGGGGTGCACCCAGTTGTCCCTGCCCACTAGTAACTACCATCCAGCTGCACATCATTCCCTGGGAGTGCAAACATTGATGGCATCTGAGTTCTGCCAGGTGGAGAAACTGCTTTGCCCTGGGGGTCAAGCATGGGCCAGCATGGCCTGTCCTTCACAGAGTTCACCTCCAGGCACTGTCATATGCCTGCAGTGCATCTGTGGCTAAGGTAGCATAGAAGAAATGGGGGCTCCTGGCATGTGTAAGGGAGGCTGGCACCATTGAGGGAAAAACAAAGACCTAATCCTGTTCTGTAAAGAGACAAAGGATGCAGGGAAGAAGCACAGTGCTGGTAGCACCAGAAACTTGTTGTACCCAACTCTATGGCCAGCACCAGAAATCAAGAAACAGTGATGGCAGCTGTAGGTTTCCAGATGCTGTTGTTTTCTGTATTGCCCTTTTGTAGATGACATTATTAGAGAGAGAGAACAGTAGAGATCTCTGACTTCAGTTTAGTTAATTCTGTTGATCCCTTTTCACAGGACACTCCTGAGGTCTGTTCTATGAATGTAGTTGCTGTTATGGCTATATGGCAGAAGAAGGTTTGAAATACCTTAGGATTTCAACTGTGCCTGAGCTGGCTGGATCTGGGATTTCTGCATCAAAGGCTGGAGTGCTGTGGGAAGGAGGGTTTCCATCTGCTCCTTGCGGCCAGTGCTGCAGAAACATGGACATCACTGAACAGAGCCTAGGGCAGGTTGTCTAAGGACTATGCCCGGTCCAGGGAAGCAAGGAGTCCTTTAAACTTTTCAGGGAAAAGCCACCTCTCATATCTCCCAGTATAAAACTTGTCCCCTTTGTATTTCACCACCACTTTATGAGGGAGAAAAGGAGCAGTGTAGTGTATTTACAGATGCTGTGTGAACATGCTAAGCATAGACATTGACAGGGTTTACTTTCTCGCATTTGAATTCAAGTGTCAGAAGAAGGTGTCACAGAAGGAGGCAAAATCACCCTGGCTCCCTCATCTTGCACCCTGATTGAGTGTGTGTATGGTATATAGTAAGTTACCTCCGATTCCTTTTAGGTTAGGATTTTAAACAAGAAGATCGATTTTAGCGATATTCAGTCCCGGTGTGGTTCCAGAGATAACATCAAACATTCTGCAGGGGGAGGAAATGTAAGTAGCACAGACACCCTGTGAACAGGCATCTCCACTGTGGTGACCCACCTCGCACAGCCAGACCCCTCTGTCTCCCTTCCTCTGAGCACTACTTTCCTTCTCGCTGCTGTTTCACACGTGAGTCTGGTCTGGTAGTTGTGTGAGCTGTGTGTATGCAGTGGTGGCCTCCTGTTCTTTCTCCACAGAGCACAACACATTTCCAGAACTTGGACAGGAAGAGGAAATGGAAAAAGAAGGGTTATCTCAAAATGCCCAAGGGTGCTCACAGTGAAAGTGCAAAATGGTTCAGTGCCTTTCTTTCATGGGAGCAGCTCAAGAAAGTAATTTCCAGAATGAGACTGCAGCTCACAGTGAGATTCCAGCATCCCTGTTGGGAATTTTCCAGAGCCCCAGTCCTTCCTCAGCTAACCTTTCAATTATGTGCATTCAGCAGAGGGGAAGAAGAAAAATAAAACATAAGGACAAAGAAAGCTCAGAGAAGAGAGTGTGATCAACCAGTGTGCTCAGTGCTAAAGCCACAGCATCATTCCAGTGTAACAAACTGAGGTGGCTCAGGGTTTGACCAGAGACCTGTTGATTCTAGCAGCCACACTGGAATAGCTTAAGGTGGCTATGACCATCCTGCTGGAAATGATCTCCCCTCAGATGGATGAGCTGATGGTGTGGGTACACAAACAGATTCAGTACAACCCCACCAGTGCTGGCTTCAGTCATGGCTGATGTTGTGAGCAAACCAGTGGCATTGCAGTCACCCTGGAGCTCCTGTTTGGCCTGGAGGGGCTGTGACTTCTTGAAGCCAGCACAGTCCCTGTGACTGGGAGCTGCATCTGGGAGCTGTTTGGGAGCTCAGCAAGGCAGGAGCATTGCCCTGTGGCTGTTCCCAAGCTAGGCTCAGCACAGCCGTGGCAAGGTGGCTGGCAGCAGGGCACAGAATAGCAGGAAGAGGTGCTGCTGCCTGCCTGACCAGAGCTGTGCTGCTGCTCTCCAGTGAGCACTGAGCCAGCTGGCTCAACACCAACCTGCTCAGGTACAGCTGCAGGAGTCACATGTGTAGATTCATCAGACTCTCTGTAGTGGATTGACAGGAAATGCATACCATATTTAGATGCAGAAGAATATGAAACAGATGGTAGAGAAAAAAAAGGTCACCAAAATATCCTAGTTGCCAGGATGCATATTCAAGAGCAGAAGCAAATGGGATGGGCCCTGCTGCGTGCAGAGCTTTGGAGCACCCACCCTGGGAGGAGGAGGTTCAGAAACATTTTAGAAAGAACTCACAAGCTGATCTGCTTTATCCTCCTCTTCATTTTGATGATAGTAAAGCTTAACCCAGCTCTGTCATCTCCCTAGGTGGAAAGGAAGCTTGCTGTATTAATCCAGGTGTTTCCTCCTTTGTGGCATGGTCTGTTTTCTACTAACAATTTCTCCTTTTCCAGTGGTTTGTAGAGGCTTGGGCTCCTTCTCTGCAGGGCTTGGCTTGTTATTTATTTTATTTATTTTATTCTTTTCATTCCTGTAATTTGTGGATGTGTACACTTTTGACAGGTACAAATTGTAACCAAGAAGATCGACTTGAGTCATGTGACTTCAAAGTGTGGCTCACTCAAGAATATCCATCACAAGCCAGGTATTGTAGGGATTCCTGGGTTGTGGGACAAAGCAAAGACCTAATCCTGTTATGTGAAGGAGAAATCATGTATGCTATTCTTTTTTAGAGTCAAGAAAGTAAATACAGTTTGGTAATAAAATATCCTTAACTACTTAACTAAATATGTAAAGATATAAAAGTATGGAACCAGAGAGGTGATAAAAAAATGATGCCAAAGGATGCTGCTGTGGCATAATGTTGAAATACAGGCTGAAGTCAGCAAAATACTTAAGCATGTGCTTAAATCCCATGAAAACCAGTGGGACTGCAGCGCCTGCTTACAGTTTGAATATGTGTTGAAGATTTTATATTTTACTGAACATGCAGAGCATTATTCTGTGCTTCTTTAAAACCATTAGATCTCAACTGAAAAGGAAATAACGTGGGTACACCGATGTGCATCAGGTCAGACTTTCTGCTGCACCATTGCAGCCTCTTAATCTGTGTTTCCTTTTCCTGTGTAGGAGGTGGGCGTGTGAAAATTGAGAGTGTGAAACTGGATTTCAAAGAAAAAGCTCAGGCTAAAGTTGGTTCACTGGAGAATGCCCACCATGTACCTGGTGGTGGTAATGTCAAGGTAAGGGGGGAGCTGTCAGAGGAAAGGCTCCCACTGTGCCACTGGCCCAGGTGAAATTATTAGAGCTGTGAATTCAGAAATGGCTCTCAATCGAGTAGCAAACATCTGTCTGTTCTCCTTCAAGCACACACACATGCCAGTTTGTTTCCTTTGAACATTGGAATGGCCAATCCACATCCACATCTAAGCTGAGAGCGAATATTAAAGTGATATGTTCTGTAGTTGGTGCACAGGCTTTCCCCCTGAAGATGACCCTAGGACAGCGTAGGTATGATCTAAGATCAGGATTGCTTTGTGAAAAAGGAAGAAAACATCTTGAAAGTAAGATCAGTCCCACAAATGTTTGAAAATACAGATTTTGGAAACAAATCACAGTGCCCATGTAATGCTTACGAAATTTGTACAGCTAGGAACCAATGGTACTGCTTGAGAAAACATCAATCAGAGACAGAAAGATAATCACAAAATCAATCAGGTTGGAAAAGACCTCTGAGGATCATCAAGCCCAACCCATGACCTAACACCACCATGTCAACTAGACCATGGCACTAAGTGCCACGTCCAAGTCTCTCCTTAAACACCTCCAGTGATGGTGACTCCACCACCTCCCTGGGCAGCTCATTCCAGTGTCTAGCCTCCCTTTCTGTAAAGAAATTCCTTCTAATGTCCAACCTAAACCTCCCCTGGAGCAGCTTGAGACTATGTCCTCTCATCCTGTCACTTGTTATCTGGAAGATACTGACCCCACCTGGCTACAACCTCCTTTCAGGTAGCTGTAGAGAGTGATAAGGTCACCCCTGAGCCTCCTCTTCTGTGGCCTAAATAACCCCAGTTCCCTCAGCTGCTCTTCAATAGGACTTGTATTCCAGACCCTTCACCAGCTTTGTCACCCTTCTCTGGACACACTCCAGCACCTCAATGTACTTCCTGAAGTGAGAGAACCAGAACTGGACACAGCACACAAGGTGTGGCCTCACCAGTGCCAAGTACAGTAACACAGTAAGCCAGTATCTATTGAACAAGGTGAAAAAAAATGATCAGTTTCATTTATCCTAGGGATCGAGGAAGCATATATCCTTCTAAGAGTTTTTTTAAAGTAAACAAAATGAGGCCCAAATGATGATCTATAACAAGATAATTTGATGAGCATATAATGTGTGAAATCCTTTACTTCCCTGGAGCAGATTGACAGCCAGAAGCTAAACTTCAGAGAGCACGCTAAGGCCCGTGTGGATCACGGCGCTGAGATCATCACACAGTCACCAGGCAGGTCCAGCGTGGCCTCACCACGCAGACTCAGCAACGTCTCGTCCTCTGGAAGCATCAACCTGCTTGAATCACCCCAGCTTGCTACCCTTGCTGAAGATGTCACGGCAGCCCTTGCCAAGCAGGGCTTATGAATCTGCTCATTTAGCATTGTATGAAGTAATAATATTTAGGCATGAGCTCTTTGCAGGAATGGGCTCAGAGCAGGTGTTACATTCATTCTTTACCATGTCTAAAACTAAGTCACATCCCAAGACTTGTAGTAACCATACAGTTTAAAAAAAAAAAACCAGAAAAAAAATAATTCCATAGATGCAGAAATTGGCCTGACCTCCATTTACAACAGGAAGACACTGGCTTTATATGGGTATACAACAGCAGTATGTTACATTGGACAATTATTGTTGCTCTGCTCTGTCTTGCATGGAGTACTGTACTATGATAAAATGCATTTTTACCTTTCATGTGCCTGAGGGCCATCCACCTCTTTCTGAAGAGCCTTGTTAATATCCCAAGTTGCTCATTTCACAGTTCTGTTGATAGATGGGGAAATCAAAAAAAAAAAAAGCAAAGTTGCCCATTGTAAGTTATTACAGATTAAATTAACAGTCTGCTTACCAGAAGGAAGGGCATATAGAGAAATTCAAGTTTAACTAAAAAAACAAAGTGTTATTTTGTATAAATGAGTAGAAGAAAAGTTGAATTAAGTTATTAACATTTTTTTGGACCTGGTTGATTATGTCAGTGTATAGCTGAAAAGCCAATAAATTATTTAACTAATAACTAAAAATAGTAGCTGAAAACATTCGAATTGTGCTTGGGGAAGTGACGTTAAAGAGCTGCTGAAAGCAAGCACTTCCACCCCAACGGGCTTGTGTCTGATTAGAAGAGTTGGTTAAGCGGCTAGATTTGTGTGCACACCACTGGTTTCACATCCTTTCCATCTGTTTGATACAGTATTATAGATATATATATATTTCTCTGTGGCCATTTGTGATATGCCCTCCTCATATACTTGAATATTCTACTTTATTCACAGTATCTGTGTCTCTTGCACCCTTTGGTGTTGCAATTTTAGGTATGTAAAAGTAGATGTTAGCAGGGTTTTTTTTCCCTATTCATAAGAATACATTTTAAAAAGATGAAAATTTTAGCATGAAGTTGCTTTCTGTAACAACTAAAAGCCGTGACCCTGTTTTAGTGCCAGATGCAAGTCTCTTCTGTGATGCTAGAAAAAAGGATTCCTTCCCTCCTCCCTTCCCTCCCTTTCTTCACAAAGGAATGATTTTTGTGGGGTCCAGACGTTTGTACAAGGGTCTCCAAAGATGGCTGAGTTTGGATTCTGGGTTTTTAAAAAATCCACAAGAGTTTGGTTCTAGTTTTTTTCTTTCTTGCTTGCTTTCTTTCTTTTTCTTTTTTTTTTTTTTTTAACTCCCGTAGAAACAGTGAATGTTAGATTTATTTATTTTTTTTCTTTTGCTAAAGTTGAAACACAGAAAAAAATACTGAGATGTTGTTTCCACTCCTTTAGTGATGTCTCAAGCGTATACTCAGGCACTCAGATACCAGTGATAAACACGGCAGAGATGCCTGTAAATTCCAGTAGGTGAAGAAATAAAAAGGAGCTCCCTAGACTGGGTTGCCATAGTGATTCATCAGCAAATAGGGCATCTTAAAATCTGAGCGAAGTGGGATTATATTGGCTGTAAGAAGTCTAAGGAAAAGTGTGCATAAAAGATAAAAGGCAGAGATACATAACCAACCGATCTCATGGAGTTACCGGAGAGAGCTCCGGCACTGAGGTAACACTGAAGGTGACACAGGACTATTGCCCATCAGCAGACAGTCACCTGCTGATGTTCTGTGTACAGTAGACATTATGAAGTGACCAGTTTACATTCTTGCAGATTGTTTGATCTTTTCCTTTTGAAACCTCTTAACTAAACTTTGCACTGTCAGTTGAGCTATACTTGATACATGTATTAGGTTAATGTTGTGTGTTGGAAGCTTTGGATCTGTTCTTTTTCCTTCTTAATTTGTACGTGTGCGTTTGTGTGTTGGGGTTTGGTCTGAAAAGACTCATAGAGAAGATTTTTATGTCTGTGGGGAAGGATTCTGATAATTAATAGCACAGGACTCCCCATCACTAAATTCAGGTAGTAACACATGGTTACTAGACAGTGAATACTCAGTGGACCAAGGGGGGATTTGGGCTAAGCTGCTGCAGCAGGACAAACACGAAACAGAAGTGATTCCATCTCTCAAACTCTTACTGAATATGAACTTCTAAGGGCCCCACACATGACATTTCGGCTCTGCGAAAAGCTTTTTCACACTCTTAAGTACCTAATACTGTTTGTAAGTCAGTTGTTTTACAGAAAGGACAGTCAGTTTAGAAACATGTGAAGCGCAACTAGAGCGTTCTGATTTCTGCCTTGTATTTGTTATACTTTTGCATAGAGTAATCCTAAGAATTCACATGGAAGCAGTGTCAAATGAGGTGCATGGAAAGCCTCTTCCCATTTTTTCAGAAAAAAAACAGACAAAGAAAAACCAACAGTGTTTATATCACATTGCTCTGATCATGCTAGCAGTTAATATAAATTAGCCTTGCAGTGGTTTTTTTCTATGCCTTTTGCCAATGTGGGAGAGAAGCTATGGTACTACTGAACCTCTGCTCTCTGAGCACCAGCTCATGAGAACAGTGCTAACCTGAGACTCAAGTTTTTTTATTCTGCTTTTAAAATTGACATCCTCTAGAAAATTAAGCTTAGTTAATCCACCTATGAGTCCAAAGTTAGAGTGGTGTAACACACCGAGTCATTTATTTCATGCATTAAAATGAGCTTTCTTGTCTTGATTCAAACAAAGACCTCTGTAATCATAATCATCCTTCCATAGAAAGAATCCTAGAACGCTGTGGAGTTAGATGAAAAGAAATCAAGAGTTTTTGTGCTGTTAAATAATAATAAAAAACCAAGTTATGTTACATGACTCTAGATGTTCACTGAAAAAGCTCATATTAATCTTAACTTTCTCAAGAAGAGTGTTTGTTTGAAAAACAACAGTTTGTAAATATGTAATGCCCACTAAAGAAGATAGAGCCAGCTTCCTGGAAACTGCATCTGTTGTGTTTCTTTTCCACAGGCATGTTGAGCCAGCAGGTTTGTTGGGTGCCTGAGACCCAACTCTGTAACAAAGCAGAGATAATCCAGACAACAGGAATGGTGAAATCTTGTTTGGGTAGCCAGGGGAGCACCCCAAATTTAGTAATCCATCAAGTTGTAGACACAAAAGAAAAAGTGCATCTGCTTCATCTGCAGAGATCTGTTTCTATGTAACCACAAGCTGAAACAAATCAAAGCTGAGCAAACCTCTGTCCAGCAGAAATAAAGGAAAAACTAATCCAGATGAGGGTAATTGTGTGCCCACAAGGGCAGTGTATATTTTCACTGTACAGCAGTGGATGGTATTACCCATTCAGCACTCTGCTAAGGTACAGGAGTAACCTCATCGTGACTGCTTACACATCTGAGCTTGCCTAAATACATGACCCAAAGGGAGTCAGAAGGCAGCCTGTGTGGACTACCACACGTGAGCAGAAGTTTTTTCCATGCTGGACCAAATACTGTTTGAAACCCAAGTACACATGTCCCTTCAAAGGCAAATGCCTTGAAGAGTAGATCACATTTGCTATGAAATTTGACGCAGGTAGATTTCTAGCCTAGGTGTCTGTCGAGTTCGCTCACTAGTCAGATTGCTAAAGCAACTCCCTCTGCAACTCCAGCAATTCCCACTGCAGGAAGGTAAATTAGTTTCACACTTGGAAAAGTCAAGTGTATAAAAGCCACTTCAACTTTAGCAAAGAGAAAAAGCCAACAAACATGCTGTATGCTGGGATGTCAAGGAATACGATCTGCTGTTACAAACCTGTGTTTTTTCTGATAATTCTAGAGCCTGTTACCATAAAAGAGGCATTTCTTGAATGGCTGGTGGTAGGTAGTTCATGTTTTTCAATCCGATTTGCAATTGTATTTGTTGCTGTATAGTGATTGTTTTGCAAAATAAAATCGCTTGTCATCTAATTGCACTTGTTTCCTGCGTTTGTGACACAGCTCCTCCCTTTCCTGTTTGTGGCACAGCTCCTCCTGCATCCAACCCTGCACATCCCTGCCCTGTGCAGGGAGAGCTGCCACGCACCTGCTGGGACAACAGTCCGTCTGCCCACAAGCAGTCATATTTCCAGTCATATTTCTCAGCTAATCTCTGTCACTTCTAGCCAAAAGAAATCATTTTTTATGGCTGGCATCCTCTTCTGTGGGGCAGTATCTCCCTGTCGTGTGTGAACACGTCCCTCCCTCAGCCTGGGGTCCCGGCCTCGGGTCCAGGTTTAGCATCACCCTGCACAAAGGAGCCAGCTACAGCTCCCGCTCCCACGGCCTCGGGACCAGCCCCGTGGTGCAGGCTGAGCCACTGGTGGTGGCTTCTCAGAGTTTACAAACAAAGCTCCACAGCCTTTCCCGCTTGGCAGGACCACGAGGCAGCCTCTCCGGGGAAATGGTGGCCCCAGGGCTATAAATAGCGCGGGCCTGTGAGTGCCCTTGGTCTTGCCTCTCAGAGGGGCTCAGCCTTGCTGGTGGTGGAGGATGAGTGGGGCT